AGAGAGGGAGAGAGAGTGTGTGAGTGAGAGAGAGAGTGTGTGTGAGTGAGAGAGAGAGAGTGTGTGAGTGAGAGAGAGAGGGAGAGAGTTTGTGAGTGAGTGAGAGAGAGAGCGAGTGTGAGAGTGAGAGAGACAGAGAGGGAGAGAGTGTGTGAGTGAGCGAGAGGGAGAGAGAGTGTGTGAGTGAGAGAGAGAGAGTGTGAGTGAGAGAGAGAGAGAGTGTGAGTGAGGGAGAGAGAGAGTGTGAGTGAGAGAGAGAGGGGGAGAGTGTGAGTGAGAGAGAGGGAGAGAGAGTGTGTGAGTGAGAGAGAGAGGGAGAGAGAGAGTGTGAGTGAGAGAGAGGGAGAGAGAGAGTGTGAGTGAGAGAGAGAGGGAGAGAGTGTGAGTGAGAGAGAGAGGGAGAGAGAGAGTGAGTGAGAGAGTTTGTGTGCGTAGAGAAAAACCAGCAGTGGGGAAATGGTGAAGCTGAAGCGCTGTGTGAGTGCAGTGTAACGGAGTGAGAGTGCGAGTGTAAACCATCAGGAGTCAGTCAGTGTCTATGTGCTGAGCTCACCAACAGGCCGCCAGCTCTGGGCATGTCAATGTCTATCTACATCTGCACCGAACCTGAAGATAAGGCCTTTGGGAAGGTAGCAACCTCAGTTATTTCCCCTTTTACCCAGTCCCTGCACAGCTAGCATTGTCGTGTGCAGGCGGCCCCTACAAAACCACCTCAAATCTCAAGACATGGAGCGAAAAAAAAGACCCATAACTGCAGCTAAACAGACAGCGAGCCTGACAATATGGTGGCTGACTCTACTCATAAATAATTTGCACCTTTTAAAGTTGGTACTGGGCTGGGGATGGTCAAAATTCTTGTTAAGGAAGTCCTGCATTTGTGTAGTGCCTCTCACAACCTCAGGGTAACCATCTCAGGATAACCAAGTACCGGGGTTAAGGGCCACATGTGGCTTTTGGTGATCTGGATGAAAAACCTTAACCGTGGAGTGCTTGCATCCGAAACCCCCTCGAGTGTTTCTGGAGGTGTTGCGCCTCAATATTTTGTTTCCCCCCCTACCTTATCCCCCATGGTCCTGATCTGGGGGGGTACACCCCCCCGCACCCTGTGGGGAGCATTCGGCCTAGTCGACAGGCCTGATCAGACAGGGCTACTCTTCCTGGGGGCCTAGCTACGGCACAGGCCTTTTGAGACTGGAATTCTGCCCGGCGGGATTTCACATCCGCAAATCTTTGCAGCAGGTCCATCAAAGTGTGTCACGGTGACACCATGGAATGGTGAGGACATTTCTCCCCATCTCTGTACTACTCCATATCCTTAGGTGGTGACCCCCTGGATCTAGACTCCCCACCCCGCACTGGTCATCAGGAACATCCTTTGCTCTGTCTAGCCCCTGTTCGAATTTGATCGGTTATTGTTGGAATGTTAAAATTTCCATTCCCAACCTTTCATGCTTTATTTCAGTAACATTTTGCTCCAGACGGCTGCGTTGGTAACTCCCAGGACAATCAGCCCCTTCTACCCCTTCCACCATTCGATGAGACTGATCTGTGGCCTAACTCCACAGACCTGCGTTCGGCCCTCAAAATTTGTCTACGGCAGATTTAACATCGATAACTGACCCTTCATCTGCAACCATTTATGGTGGGGGGGAAAGAGAGTTCCACCCTTTGTGTTGCATCGAACTGCTTCCTAACATCTCTCCCGAAATTCTCAGACTTCACCCCCTGGTTCTAGAATTTCCAACCAATGGAAATAGTTTATCTTTATCTACCCTGTCCTTCCCTGTTAATACCTTGAAGACTTTGGTCAGATCACCACTTAAGCTTCTCAATTCTGGAGAAAACAGGCCTCATTTGTATAATCTCTCCTCATAACGTTAACCCCTAAAGCCCAGGCTTTGCAAAGCTAGGTTGTCCTCCCTCCAAGTCCTTTCTGAGAGGCGTGGCACCCAGATCTGCTCAGAGTAACACACAAGTTTAATCTTAACTAACCTCACAAAGTCTTCAACATATCGATAAGTTTGTACAACAGAAGTATGAAGCTCACATTGTCCTGGTAAAGCGGTATCACTGTAATCTATAACTAACTTGAAAATAAATATGGCTTAGAAGTACGACTGAGATCATGTGATTGGATTTGCAGACCTGCTTTAAGATTGCAGTGAAGAATATTGTCGAGATATTAGCTAATGTGGCACTGTGGTAACGCCTGTATCTCTAGGCCGGGAGAGACACATTCAAGATCCCCCACACCTGGCTCCTGCACAGCTCGATTTATTAAACCTTTTTTTAAAAAAACGCCCAACTTTTCGACTTGCACTCCCTACCAGAAGCAAACAAAACGTACAAAGGAAAAAGCAGCTTTGATTTTTTATTTTCCCAAATAAAAAAAAACTCACGTTTTTGAGCTCACGTACAGGATTATTAAAATATTTTTGGGCCAAGTAAAATGTCCAGCTGGGAGGGAGCGATTTCGGGGCCTGAATCCTGCAGTTGTGCAGGCCATCTGCTAAGCTTTAGTAATCTTGGTCATGCTCTCCTGGTTAATCGTCGTTTGCGCATCACCGGTGATGGTCAGCATGGGCCAAAGGGCCTGTTTCTGTGCCGTGTGACCCTACTGTGCTCAGTTCTTATTCAAAGGGAAGGATGTTAAAATCCTGGAGAGGGCTCAAAGGAGATTGTTCCTCGGAATTTAGCAAAGATTACAGATTACAGTACAGACATGACGGGTTGAATGGCCCCTGCCTGTAATGTCAAATTCTGATTCTACAACTCCAGGACAGGTTGACTTTAGGCGTGGGAGCTGCACAAACCCTCTCCACTAATCTTATTATTCTGTCAAGAGTTGAAGGTCAATTTTATCTGAAAGAAAAATTGCAGAGGCATATGACTGTTTTGGCAATGTGTCTTACAAGCCAGTACTGTCCTAATGTTTTTTGGATCGAGATCACAGAGCTAGACTATCACTGAATACTCTTTACAGTTCAAAGCTCTTACGGAGCACAGGAAACAGAGGAACCTCACCAGAAGGAAATTCACTCAATCGATCCCAGAGATGAGGGGCCTGTCTAATGATATGAGCTGTTTAACCCTGAACCCTCTGGCAGTTTATAAGAGGGAGAGGGGCATCCAGTTAGAAGATGCTAAAGGGGATTGGCATGGAGATGATATTCGCTCATGTGGAGAGAATCTGGAACCAGGTAGTTTTAGGATAAAGCGTTGGGCTGGTTTAAAAGAGAGATGAGGAGGAGTTACTTCCCTCAAAAGGGTCGTGAGCCTGAGGAATTCACTTCTCCCAGAGTGCGGTGGATGTCGGGACACTTGAGTAAATTTCAGGAGAGGAACTAGAGTGACAAAGGTTTTAACCTTCTTGCAGTAACTTGGCTTTTGTGTAACAGGGTCCTGCTATTGTGCTTTCCACAGCATCCACGTCAAACAAACGTCAGACCCCACAACTTTCAGTTATTTTACAGTAAATTTTGTACAAAGGTGTGTCTATCTCCATATCAGGTACCAGGTTAGATGTTGAAATGCCCACAATGCTGCCTCTGAATCGCACTCTGATTATAAAAGTATTGTGGCTTTTTTTTGGGGGGGTGGGGGGGGAGGTTTGCACCACGGTAGCTCGGTGGTTAGCACCGCTGCCTCACGGCGCCAGGGACCCAGGTTCGATCCCAGCCTTGGGGCAACTGTCTGTGTGGGGTTTCCTCCCACAGTCCAAAGATGTGCAGATTAGGGTGGATTGGCCGTGCTAAATTACCCATAGTGCCCAGGGATGTGCAGGTTAGGTTGGATTGGCCGTGCTATATTACCCATAGTGCCCAGGGATGTGCAGGTTAGGGTGGATTGGCTGTGCTAAATTACCCATAGTGCCCAGGGATGTGCAGGTTAGGGTGGATTGGCCGTGCTAAATTACCCATAGAGCCCAGGCATGTGCAGGTTAGGGTGGATTGGCCGTGCTAAATTACCCATA